GTTTTCATTGATATCTTTTCTTTTTTTACATCCCCTGCATTTTCCCCCAGGATTCTTTCCTCATCCATCTCCTAGAAAGTCAACTTATGTAATAAAGAATATTTTTAAAAGAAAACGAGGAAGAACAGAAAAACAACCAGTAAAACTGATCAATATATTGAAAAGAACAATGATCTTTCAATTGCCAAATCTGATGACTTCTCAATTTCTCTGCAGCATTTGATACTCTTTTTTCTGGGATTTCATGACATTGCCTTTTCTTGGCCCTGGCTCCTAGCTGACTATTCTTTCTGAGTCTCCTTCATTAGTTAAAATTCTATATCATACCCCTAACTATGGATGTACCCCAAAACTTGATCCTGAGCTCTATTCTCTTCTTTCTCTATACTCTTTCACATGGTGAAAGTGTATTATGGATATTAGTTTCCGTGGGTTTAATTATCTCTATACAGATGATTCTTGGACTCATATATTTAGTCTAGGTTCCTTTTCCCAAGCTCCAGTTGTGCATTTTTAACTGCCTTTTGGCTACTTCAAAAACATCTCATCTTAAACTCAACACATCCCAAACCAAACTCATCATGGTTTCCCCACCCCCTACTTCAGAACTTCCCTATTGCTTCTAAGGATTGCAAATCTGAGTATTATTCTTGACTTCTCATTTGCCCTCATCCCAGATGTCCAATCAGTAACCACATCTTGTCATTTTCCCTCCACAATTATTTTTCACATGCATTCTCACGCTCACAAGGGCACCACCCTAGTTCAGCCTCTCATTAGCTCTTGCCTGGACTACTGCAACATCCTCTTAATTGACCTCACTCAAGCCTCTCCCTTTCCCAATTCATCCTACACACAGCTGAGAAAGTAATTTTCCTAAACTGCAAGTCTAGTCATTTCACTCTCTTATTCAGTAAACTTCAATGTTTCTCTATTGCCTCTAGGATCAAATAGTATATAACTTCCTCTGTTTAAATTTTCCCTTTTCCATGCCTTTGTATAAGTGCAACCTGGTCCCAACTTACCTTTCAAGCCTCATTCTACATTGCTCATCTTCCTGAACTCTACTGTCCAATTGCAGTAGCCTCCCCTTCTGTTCTTCACCCATGACATTACAGCTCTCATTTCTGCACCTTTGTACTGGCTACTTCCTGTGCATGGAATGTACACCAGCACCAACTCTTTGAATCCCTGCTTTCCTTCAAGGTTTGGCTTAAGAGAAACAGTCTGTATCAATGTCAAACAGAAACAAGACTACTCACCCATACATAAGGATCCCTGCAGGCTGAATATTGTCTTAGAAAACCATTAGTCACATTATCTATGTCCTATTGTATTATTTGGCTGGGGGGGGGGCGGGGGCGGGCAGGAGGTGGGGGGGGGTTGTTAAATGTTTTCCAATTATATGTTAATCAGGTTTCTTTGTTGCAGCCTGAGGTTTTTGACACCTCTGGTCTACATGAAAACATTCTAGGTCTCCCAACCTGTTTGTATTCTCCCTCTCAATCTTTCTATACCTTATATTTATTTTATATATCATCATTTATATATATATATGTGCATATATACACACAATCTATATATGTGTATATATATGTGCATGTGTGTATATATATTCATTTATGGACCTTTACTGAGAGAATATAAGCTTCTGGGGGGTAGTGACTTTTAACTTTTGTTTTCTTTATCCCCAGTGCCTAGCACAAAGTGCTTAATGAATGCCTGTCAATTGATCCATAAGACCTTCTCCCGATCTCAACTTTAGCCCTTCTCAGATTTTACCAGGATCTCTTTGTCCCTCAATATCCTTGCCAATGCCTCCTTTTGGTTTTCTTTCTAGTGCCTGGATGCTGATTTTTCCTCCATCCCCATCCTTGCAGGATGTAGCCTAGAAAGCCCACTCCACCAGTCCCAAGGCTTGTGGACTTGCGATCCTCTAAGTTATTAGTTGAGGTGAGGAGGAAATGGTCACTCATGTTACTTGGATGACAAGGGGGTCATCAATTAGAATTCTTCAGGTAAGATGTAAGACTCCTGGGCCTTAACAACTGCCCTAACACGGGGCTCCTCAGATCCCCCAAGAATAGTCATCTATTACGATGATGAATTCTAAGAATCTCTGGGCCTTGCTATCTACTATGTTGCTACACTCTAAGCATCAGAGGGTATTTTCAAACCTCCTGCACCTGAACCCTCCTATCTGAAGAACTCGGATGGATTTTCTTTTCTTTCTTTTTTTTTTTTTTAACAACATGCATTTATGAAATGCACACTATACATACGGCACAAAAATGAAATAGTCTTTGCCCTTGAGGAGCTTACATTCTCTCAGCAGATTTTACTTTTCATTACTTAAAATCTGTTATTATCTCATTCATGTAGACAATGACTCCAACAGTACAGATGACAACTGTCCTTGCCCTCTTTATTCTGTGTAACTGTTGGCCATGTTCTCCCAAAATTCCTCCATAGGGCAGCATCCAACATGATGGAGGCTTTCTTCCTGATCTTTTGATGTTGTCAATAGAGCCCTACAACAAGTGTTTATTAAACTCCTACTAGGTGCTCTAAGTGCTGGAGATACAAGTGTAAGGAAAAAGACAGTCCCTGCCCTCAAGGAGCATATATTCTAATGGGGAAAGATAACACAGAAAAGGGGGCTAAAAGGAATGGGTGGGGAGAGAATGAAGGATGGTTAGTCTCTGCCCTTCCTCAAATGGGATTCTGGGAAGAACTAATCAAAGGAAGAAAAGGATTGAAGGGGCAGAGGAAGAAGGCAGCTAGGCATGACTCTGAGCAGGAAGAGATTTTAGAGGCACCTTAATTCAACTCTCTCATTTTACAGATTAGATTGTATTTCCAGATTATATCTATGATCCACCCAATAGAAATCTATAATCCTATCCCTCCCCATGATTTCATCCAGTCCTCTCCCATCTCTGCCTTTCTCCAGACTTAGAATGGATTTCACTGTCCCAACCCTCATTGCCTTCAAGGCCTAGGTGTTTTCATTGCCCATAAGAATCATTACAGTTAATACTATTAACAGTTTGGAGTGTGGTTAGCTGTAATCAAGAGGAAGAATTAAGAGACCATGAAATGGCAGGACAAAAGATGCAGCTTGGCCTCTATGAGGGAAAAAGCTTCCTTTGCTTAAAATTACTGAAGCCAACATTCATCTGGGCCAGAGGAATGAACAAGAGAACTTCTGGAAGCTCCGACTGTTGAGATTTAGGGCTTTAGGGGTGCTGGAACCCCAGAATCACAACACATGGGTCCCATCCGAAAGATTTCGACCCAAGCCTTCTTTCAGCCAAAGACGAGGTTTATTAGAACATCTGTCACATTAAGCAGACTCTTAAGGAGTCTGAACACTAGTGAGCTAGATTATAAGAATCTGAGCAGTGGCTAGATTTTAAGAATCTGAGCACCTTAATGGAGAAAAGATGGACCTTATATACAGAAAGACTGTGGGAGAGATCTAGGAGTGGCCAAGTAGTCTGCTGGGACTGTGAGGTAATAGAATGCCAGGGACCTGGACCATGTGGCCAAGGGAGAATGGAGCCTAGCTAGGATTAAGGGTGGGAAGTGGCCAGGGGCCATAGGGAGGTAAGGCAATGGAGGGAAACATTAGTTTCCCCATTATGTTCCTTTGAAAAGGAATGTTACCTGAGTCTGGCTATGAGGTGGATTTGATACTGAATGGTTGGAAAACTGAATTATCTGAATCCATCAGAGCTAAGGATCTTTTATCCTGTCATATTTGGCCCCTGCAGTCTTTTCTGTCAGATTTGTGTCTTCCAGACTACAGGACATTCACCTACAGTTGGTAGCAAACAGTGGGTACCAGCCTATGTCCCCCCATCGTTCCCTGGATGTAGCCTGCGCTCCTTTCCAGTCAACCTCCTCTCTGATTTTCCATTTGCATGCATATCCACTACTTAGCACTGTTCTTGGCATATAGTAAGGGCTTAAAAATGCTCATGCTCATTCATTCATTCATTCATTCATTCATTCATTTATTCATGAATCACCATCCCTTTAATCACCCACATTTGTAAATTAGGCATCATCCTTGATCCTTCATTCTCTTTTATAAGAGATATGTAATGAATACCAAGTCTTGTCATTCTATTACCATGTCTCTTGCATCTATTTCCTTCTTTCCACACACACACACACACACACACACAAACACACACACACACACACGTTCACTGCCCTAATTCAGGCCTTCATTATCTCTTGTGTAGACTAATAATTCTGCCATTCTCTAGTCTCTTCCCTTGATCACAGCTACAAAACAGATATTCCTAAAGTACAGGTTTGACCACCTTACTATCCTCACCAAGAAGCTTCAGTGACCCCCATTGCCTCTAGGATAAAATACAAATGTCTCTTTTTGGCACATGAATCCCTTTCCAATCTGGCTCCAATTTGTCTTTCTAGACTGATTTCACATTGCTAGCCCATACATTAAGTTACAATAGGTCTGCTTTCTATAACCTCCAATTTCCAGGCTTTGTACCTTTGCACAATCTATGTCCCATATCTGTTCCTAGTTCCTTCTCTTTAAGACTTAGGCCAAGTGCTTCCTCCTACCTAAGGCCCTTTCCTGATGCCCTCAGGTATTAGCAATCTCCCCAACAACCTCCTCTCTCCCTTTAAATTACTTCATATTTACTTTGTGTACATTTTATATTAGCTTATCTGAATCAATGTTGTCCTCTCCTTCCCCCACTTACACACCTAGGAATGTAAACCTATTGAGGGCAAGAACTGTTTCTTTTCTTTTCTTTCTTTTTTTTTTTGTAATCATCCCAGCACCCAGAATAGTTACTGAAACATAGTAGGTACTTGATAAGTGCTTGTCAAATTGAACTGAAATGGGAGGAATTTATCTAAAAGATAAATAATATTTCAGTCCAATGAAGCACCACGTCAGACACTTAGACATTTTTTCCAACCAAACTGCCTTAAAAAGTTTCTGATGTACTTACATTGCTCCATTTGTGTAGACTGTATCGCTTCCCTCCACATACTGCACCTGAGCTGGGTAGACATGCTGCACCTGCTGTACAGTCTGTACTTGCTGTACCTGAAAAATAAATACAAGGGATATTGTGCTTTGTGATATGGATGTAGACTATTAAGTTTGCTCTAATGGTTGCTGTAAGATGCAATCACGTCATTAAAAAAATAAACCACTAGATAGACAGTAATTTAAATTTAAGTTCTTGTTAATTCTGGATGAAGCAGAGTGTTTAAATTAAGGCACATGATTTCTGTTTTACATAAATGCACACACTTTAAAATGTTTGGGTTTATAATTCTGAAAGGTTCGTGTCAGTGGCTTCAGTTGAATGCAGTTCTTAAGATGCTCATTATCACTTCAATAAACTAAAATAAAATGAGAATTTCAGACATACATATAAAGCTATATAATACATATGTACTATTAACATTGCTTAAGAAAAAAGGATTCTTGCCAGTATAACTAACTGGTAAATAATATGCAAGGCTTTATTTCAATTGCTGGTATTCACAGCTGCTAATTAGCATCATTACTGAAAGAAAACCACACAGAATGATCACACAAACTTATAATGATCTTAAATTATTGATTTTATAAATTAGAGTATGTCATTTTTTGACAGGAGACCATGAAGTGCCCACAGATAACCACAGTCCAATATATGCTGCCTTGACTACAATTTCCAAGGACCCTGGTTGACTGAGAAAGGCATTTAGTTGGCTACCATCTGAACTGTGAGCATCGTTAAGTTTTATTACAAGAGATAGTTTGATCAAAATAATATTAACCTCATACAGTTATAGCAAGCAAAACATGAAATGCTCTAACAATTCTCAGGTCCCACTTAGGCTGCATAAACTATGCAAATCAACTTAATTAGCATAAGTGCCCAACTGGCAAAGTTGAAAAAAAAATTAAAGGTTGTACAAATCATCATCAAACCAAAGGCTTCTCCACTTCACTGACAAGTATTAACGAACCCACATAGAGCACTGTAGCACTTCCCTCAAAATAAAACAGTGCCAGACTTTTAAGTAACAAAAATATTTTTTGTACAAATGAAACAGACCACTGAAAAACTTTTGATATAAATCTCTTTCTATAATCAGAAAAAAATCATCATAGATTGCATAAAGAATCAGGCAAGATCAGACAATGAGTTCATTGTTTGACTTTACATATATATGAAAATAAGCTTGTTGGAGGACATCTCTCAAGATTTTTGTATTTTTCTCTACCAAGTCAAATTACTTTTCTAATCAATTAACAATTAGAAGGAGATTTTATGTCCTACACCTCTCAGTAACACTCCCTCCATAGGTGCTGACCACATAGTCTGTCATACTGCGTGAATGTTTATGGTGTCCTTCTAAAAATATTCCACAAAGGGATCTATCCCATATGCTAAACATTGCTTTATTTATTGAAAAAGTTGTCTTAAGAGCTGTTGGAAGCTCTTGAATCTGATTTTACAACCATTGAAATAAAAAGATATTGCTCAGACATCTATATCTATAGCTCAGATATCTAAGCACTTTTCTGCAACCTAAGTGTTTCTTCCTTAATGAAGAATACTAAAGATATATGATTTAGCTATAAAATGAAAAAGATTTTGCACAAACAAAATTAATGCAGTTAGAATTAGAAGAAAAAGTCAACTGGGAAAAACATCTTTGCAGGAAATTTCTTAGATATTGGTCTGATAGGCAAGATATAGAGGGAATTGATAGAAATATTTAAGAACAAAAACCATTTTACAAAAAGTAGTCAGAGTATAAGTAGAAAGTTTTTGAAAAAAGTTATATAAGCTGGCAGTAACCATATAAAAATATTCCAAGTCACTATTAACAAGAGAAATGTAAATTAAAATATACTCGTCAGATTGACAAGGATTTCAAAAAAGGAAAATGACGTTTGTGGAAAGGGCTGTAGGCACACCAAGGTATCATTGGTTTAACCATTCTGGATAGAAATTTGGAGCCATACCCCCCAAATCACTAACTTATATATACCCTTTGTTTTGCTAGGCATATTATACCCCTTCCCCAAAGGGTGAAAGACAGAGGAAAAGGACTGATATATACAAAAATATTTGTAGCAAAGGACTGAAAATAAAGTGAGTGGATGTCCATCAGATGGGGAATAGCTGAGCAAATTACAGCACTGTATATGACAGTAATAGAATATCATTATGCTATAAGAAATGATGAAAGGAACAGATGGATTCAGAGAATATGAACTGAGGTAGAGTGAAGTGAGCAGAACCAAAACAACTATTTATTTAATAACCACAACATTATAAATGAAAACTTTAAAAACTTTAAAAACTGTGATCAATATGACCAATCATGACTCCAGAAGATTGATGAAGCATGCTTCCTATCTTTTGTCAGAGAGATGATGGACCTACATTAGGTGCAGAATACAAAGTACATTTTCAGACATGCCCAGTGTGTAATTATTTTTTTTTTTTTGCTTGACTACTTTGTTATAAGAGAAGGCTTTTATTTGGAGGTGGAGAATAGCGAGGTGATGTGAATGGATAGTGAAAATTGATGGAAAAAAAAAAGAAGAGAGAAAAGAGCATCAATTAAACATTTTTAAAATATTCAGAAGAGAGCCAAAGGAAGTTCAGAAGAGGACAGAGACAAGCAGGGTGTTATCATGTTAAATCTAATATTCATTTTAAAAATACTAAGCTGTATATAATAATCAAGTTTCCACATAAGATCCTCTTTGTCTGTTCTTTGTATATTGAAATGTTCATGTTGTTATGTTTTTTAAGTTCATAATAAAAAGGGGAAATTAAAAAAATGCTTCAGAATTTAAAAGACCAAACCATCATATTGATCCTATCCTTAAGAACAAGCTCCCCATTGTCTTTCCACAACAGCAACAAATAGTTATTGAGTGCACAGTACATATAAGATGAAGACATAGCCAGGCTGTTCTAGTGGATAAAGAACTGGTCTTTGACTCAGGATGACTTGAGTTCAAGTGCTGCTTGGACACCTACTAGCCATTTGACCCTGGGCAAGTCACTTAACCTTTCAGTGGCCTCAGACAACTATCTAAAACTATCTAAAAAATGTTGCAAAACAGTTGCTGAACTGCACTGGTGGATGGATTTTCTTCAGTTGGGGGTCCTCTACACTTTCAAAATCACACTAATTGTTTTTTTTTTTTTGTACAGAGGAGAGGTCTAAATGACTTGGCTGAGCAGCTGCAATTCACTGTCCATTAATTAGTTCCACTTGAAGAGTTAACAAGGTCACTTCATTCCATTGAGGCCAGCCTTACAATTCCTCATGTATATAGCTTGCTTATTCTTGCCTCATTTCCCTTGCTCTTAGGGTTCTCTTCCTTCCTAAAATGCCTTCCTGCAGAAAATATGTTTAACAATAAATATCTATTACTTTATTCAGAGCCAGATTCAATATTTATTTCCTTTAAAAAATATTTTCTTGATAAACTTATGGGGGTGGAGCCAATAATCACAGGGGGAAAAAATGCTCTAAATCATTATTGATTAGAGAAATACAAATTAAAACAACTCTGAGATACCACCTCATGCCTATCAGATTGCCTAACACAACAAAAAAGGAAAATGACAAATGCTGGAGAGAATGTGGAAAAATTGAGACACTAATGTACTGCTGTTGGAGTTGTGAATTAGTCCAACCATTCTGGGGAAGAATTTGGAACTATGCCCAAGGAGCTATAAAACTATGTATACCCTTTGACCTAGCAATACTGGGTGTGTATCTCATAGAGATCAAAGAAAAGGGAAAAGGACCTATTTGTACAAAAGTATTTATGGCAGCTCTTTTTGTGGTATCAAAGAATTGAAAATTGAGGAGATTGAGGAATGTCTGAATAAGTTATAGTATATGATTGTGATGGAATACTATTGTGCTATATGAAATGATGAGCAGAATGGTTTCAGGAAAAACTTGGGAAGACTTAGACGAACTAATATAAAATGAAGTAAGCAAAACCAGGAGAATGTTGTACATAGTAATAGCAATATTATAAGGATGATCAACTATGAAATAGCTACTCTGATCAAGACAATGATCCAACACAATTCCAAAGGACCCATGAGGAAAAATGTTATCCACCTTCAGAGAGAAATGATAAACTCTGAATGCAGATTGATGCATACTTTTAAAAATGTTTTTCTTGCTTTATTTTCTTTAATTGTATCTTCTTTTGCAACATGGCTAATATGGAAATATGTTTGCATGACTTCACATGTATAACTGATATTAAATTGCTTGAATTCCCAAAGAAGAAGAAGGAGACACAATTTGGAATTCAAAATTTAAAGAAAGATTGTTAAATTTGGTTTTGCACATAATTAGGAAATATTTAATGAAATAAATAAAATATATTTTTAAAAGTCTTCTCTTTTCTCCATTTTAATTTTTAATTTATTATTTTATTTAATTTTCCCCATCTTAAAATAATCCCTCCCTTGCTTTGAGCACTTACTATACTCAATGCACATTCTACCCCACTGCCATGAACACACTTATATTCTCCAGCAGTTTCATGTATGAATTGAACAAAATATCACCCTGATGATCAACTAGTAAAAAAAAAAAACAACCACCACATTTATTATGTTTGCAGTAAGTGGCAGACACTGTACATGTGCTAAGGATTTAAAGAAAATAAAACAGCTTCTGTCCTCAAGAAGCTTACATTCTAATGGGAGAGATAGCATGTATACATATGGAGGTACAGAATATACCCAGAACGAACACAAAGTAATTTGGGGAGGGAGAACAATATTACTTGTAGATGGTGGCAACTGAGTTGAGTTTTAAGAGAAATTAAGGATTCCAGTAGGCAGTGGGGAGGGAGGATTTTTAGCTTGAGCACAGCCAGTGTAAAGCCTCAGCGATGGAAGATGGGATATTACCTGAATACAACAAATCTGCCAGGATGGATGGGTTGTAGAATGCAGGCAGGAAAGTGTCAGGTTTTGAAGGGCTTTAAATCCTGGAGGAGCTGGTCCTACAAGTAAATAGGGAGTCACTGGATTTTGTTGAGGTGAG